GTAAAAAAAATGGCTGGCTTTAAACACCTCGCTTTCCTGGCTAGTTCCTGCTTGATTTTTCGTGAGATCAGCGTGTATCTTTTTAGCTTTCTCGCAAATAATTGCTTCCATTACGCTGTCTCCAGCACTGTTTTTCAGTTATCCAAAGCAAAAGCAATTTCTCGACATGATCTAATGTCTTCGATCTCTGTTTAGAAATTGATTTAACCCCTTTCGCAATGTTAGCAGATTTAATAATGTATTTATTTTTCGCGATTGTCCATATCGTCGTTCTCAGAATACGGTAGGCAACAGTTAAAATCTCAAACAGGCGTGCTACCTTCGTATTTTTCAACAATTTCTTTTATCGGTTCCATTGTAATTCTAGTCATTTTTTTTAGTTTTCTGTCGCTTTTCATTTGCCTTTTTGTGATTCGTGATTAATAAAAATAATAAAATTTTATTTACGAATTAAAATCAGAAGAAATTTAACAAAGTTATAAACCGTTGCACCGTGAACGTCTAGTCTGGTCTAGTACACCGATAGTGCTACTTGTTCATTGATGGTACGTATCATTGAATTATGTCATATACCGAACAAAAGTCATATACCAAGCAAAATTTGTTTCGTCCAAACAGGACGTATTCCGAATTGGACATATTCTAAAGCAGACGTATACCGAGGTACCACTGTATTTGATAATATTTTATGCTATCATAACCTAAAGAGGCTCTTAAAAAGCTGAAAACATAGTTAAAGTTATTATTGGACTGCAAAAATTTTTGAAGATTTATTCGACTATAGATACAATAATGTATCATTTAAAGATATTATAGATTATAATTATAAGTTTAATTTTATGTAATAATTATTACATTATATTGAAATTATTTAATGTTTATACCGTAAATATCTTAAAATGTATTATAAAATTATTTTAATGAAAGATAATATAAATTTTTCACTAATGTTTTCATATAATATTTTTAATTTAAAATGTCATAAATAATTTATATTGTAATTTAAATCAGTTATTTTTTTATTCAGTAATTTTTAATAAAGCTATATGGAAGATCATTTATACATATATGAAGCTATATGAACTTAGTCTCTTCCTTAACCATTGACAAGAAATGATATAGTTAAAGTAAATGTTGAATATATTATTAGAAAAATCTGACAGGGCATAAAATTTCAATTAAAAAAGGATTAATTAAAATTTATGTATATATTTTTAATTTTGGCTTATCATCAGCAAACTTTTTAACTGTTTTACATAATTTTGCAAAGGCATAGGTCTCTAATAAAAAGTTGTCTATGCAAAGAAAGACTGTTTTGTTCCTGGAGATTGGACATGCCAGAAATGAAGCCAACTTAGTTTCTTGTACATTTTTTATATTAAGGCATAAAATGTTTACTTGAGATATGAAATATAAATATAAAGCTTTAATCCTTGATGTCAATTGAACAAAATGGTATACAAATAGTTGATATTAAGTACATGTGAAGATTTTATTAACATTTGCTTCATATTATTTTAAACTATAACTTTTCTTTTGTTTTAGTATCAATTATTCTTTTATTAAAATTTTTTGATGTATAGATTAATTATTGTAAATGCTATGTAAAATTAATATTATTTGCGGTGAATTGTTATAAATTAGAAAAATATGGAGAACATTGTAAAATGACACAAAATTTTGAAGTTTGATTATTGAGAGCAGTCAGGCAGAGCTTCTAGTATGTTATAAATATTTTATTATAAACTGTATAAAAAAAGTTTATTATAATTCTTTGTATATGTATTTATAAAGTTTTAGCTAATTTAAATAAACTTATTTTTTCAGAGTGATTCTTCAAATTTACTTGATCATAATATTCCATTACTAAAGGAATTATTAGAGAGTTTGTTAAACAGTAAGTTTATCAGTAATGAATAATAATTTATTTTAAAAAAATTTTAATACTAAAATGAATGAATTATTGCATAAGTAATGTGTGGGAATCTGTGTGATATTGACTAGATGATTTTGAGAATTTTGTCCTGCCCAATGAATGATCAAAATGACAATATTTTCTCTTTGAAGAATTGATAGATTAGAACAAATAGAAGTTTTATTTACATGAAAGTTATATCAAGAAACTACTTTTTGAAGATCAACCTGAGACAACAGCTTATCTACCATCTTATGCACAAGTACTTTTGAGCAGGGCTGTGCAGTCAAAGTTGGGAGTCGTGGTATTTTGGTGTTTTAGCCGGATTCATCAAAAAATCCACTGACTCTGACTCCTTTTTGCTTCCCAACTTGTTATGTATATAAAACAGAAAAGTATTGGAATCATGTCAAATTTGACCCTGTGAGTTTTTTGCAAATCCTCACGTTTGGAAACATCCTGAATTCAAAAAATGTCAAATGAAAGGGAAAACTTTGTTTGTGTGTGCTGGCATCTAATTTGTTTAATTTCTTTATTCTCTGTTCTGAGATATTAGTTAATATCTTATAATATATTAGATAATATCTCAGAATGGGTAAAGTTTAAGAAACAAAATTTGGTGCAGTAACTTGTGTATAAAGGGACATTAATGCTATTAAATTTTGGTTCTTTATTAAAGGTAGACAGTATGGAGATATAGAAGGAGTTATGTGTCATATCTCCAGTGTGGTCAGACTTAATGAATATTTTACTCATTATTAACGTTCACGATTTTTTTTATAAAACTCATCTCTACCCTCAAAATTATGCTTTTTGTCATTTTATAATAGTACAGTAGAACCTGTTAAGATGTTTTTGCCTGAAATGTTAGAATGTGTATGGGGGCACAATTTAGTTTAACCACATTGAAGCTTAATAACTCCTGTGTTAAACCATCTGACTCAGATTTAAAAACCAGAAAAGTTATTAGACTATAAACAGGGTGAACAAAATCATGCCCCACATACAGTCTAACATCCATACATACAGAAAAAGTCTGAATCTTTTGCATATCTTGACATTTCAAGGTGTCCTGAGTCGAAAAATGTAAAAATTTGTGAGGGGTCATTTTTTGACTGATCGTTACACTTTCTCTCTGTTATATATAACAGCCGGGAAAGTAAAAATTATTGAATACATATTTATATATTGACTGTGTTATTACTTAGAGAAGTCTTTTAACTTTGGAATAAAAAAGTTTTATGTTCTATCTTTATTAAAACTCTATTTTTTGAATCTTTTAGTCTGAGGTCACAGAATTCCCAGGCCTATTTTGGTAACAAGTCTGTCCCTAGTTGGAGTCGGAGTTGGATGGTAAGGCATAGTCAGAGTTGGTAGATTTTTACCCAACTCCAGAGCCCTGCTTTTGAGTTATCCAAGGTCATCTTCAGGGATCACCCTAGCTGCAGCTTTTGCATCAAAGGCAATTGAAAATATTCATTTTTCTCCATCATTTTATGTTATGAGCTAGATTTTTAGTTTTGTAAGTGAGATTCATAATTATCCAGTATATAGTGCATTTGCAACTTTTGCTTTTGTATAAATGACCAAGAAGTTTAATGTTCTATTTATTGTTTTTTTTTACTTAAAAATATTTTAAACGATTATGCAGAAAAATTTTTCATATTTCTTGTGAAATGGAGAAAGGTTGCAATTTGGAAGTAATTAACGTCAAAGAGGGGGGATACATTATCAACAGTGTCAAAGTCAGTAATCACATGAGCAAAAAAAAAGCAAAAAGAAGAAAAATACTTTGATTAAAAGAAAATATCTGAGCGAAGACATATGAAAAATTCATTGGCATAAAGTTTTAGAATATTTTTAAGAAAAAGAAAGCAATAAATAGAACAAAAGTTTGAAAATGCATGGAACATTGAATTTCTCAGGCATAGTAATTTGGATAGCCGTGAAGATGAGATTGATCAACTTAAAAGTACTGTACTTGGTTGTTAGAAGATTAACTGTTTTCTCAGGTTGGTTTCCAAAATCTAGTTTCTTAATATAACTTTTAAGTTTCATATGGAGATTGATTAATAACTGAGTTTTATTTACAATTTTATTTGAGTTTTATTAAAAGTAATTTTGATAAAAAATGAGAAAATTCAATAATAATTGTATAAGCAAAAGAATAAGATTTAAAGTTAGGTTGTTTTTTTTAATTATTTTAACATTATTTATTCTTTGTAATAAATAACTTAAGTTTCAAAACTTTTAAGTTCATTACACAATACATTGGATATAATACGAGGGTCATTCTAAAAGTAAAGAATGTTTGTTTCTCTAGATACTTTTATTTAAGATAATGAAACAAAACTTATTTTACAACACATATGATACCTTAGCTATATTTCTACATAGTCGTCATACAAATTTAAACATTTGTCATAATGCTTTTCTATGCCTTCTGCACACTCAGTTACTGCCAAGTTCTTGAACCAGTCATTAACGGCTTCTTTCAGTTCATTATCACTTCCATAGTGATTCCCAGCTAAAAAATCCTTCAATTTTGGGAAAAGATGTAATCACTCGGAGCCTAGTCCAGATTATAAGGATGCTCAAAAGATGTTCAAAAACTTCCCACTTAAACTGCTGAAGCAAGTTCTTCATCAACGCAGCAGCATGCAGACGTGTGTTATCCTGAAGAAGCACAATGCCTCTGGACAACAATCCCCACCATTTGTTTTGAGCTGAAGCTTCATTCATCACATTACCATAAACCTTGGTTATCTGTCTGTAAATTTCGATAGGGTGGACTTTTTTCACATTCAAAAAGCATATTACACTATGAACCTCACATTTGGCAGGATTTTTAATTTTGTCACACATTTCAAAGTCACGCTGTAAACAGTAAACGATTATTGTGGCTCGCTGTTAGCATCAGACTGGCAAGCCACAATGATCATTTGGAAAAAACATGGGAAGGTTCATGATACGGCAGTTGAGGGTGATGGGAGAACTGAACAGTTTGTCAGATCAAAACGTTCTTTTCTTTTAGAATGACCCTTGTACACCTGCATCTGTAAATTACAAGTCTTTCTTGACTTCTAAATAAATATAAATTTTGTTTTTTAAGAAAGAAAAAAAGATTTGAGATTTGCAAGTTCAGTTGTATTGTATACATAAATATTAATCTTTCAGGTGCAATTGTTTCTAATCTATTAGAAAATATTTTTAATTTAAAAAACTTAAACCATAGATGAATTTTCTGCATTTTTAAATTTCTTTAATTTTTTATTTTTAATATCAATAACTTGTACAAGAATGTTTCAGCAATAAAACATCCTAAAAAATAATTATAAAACCAAATTCATTAAAAATCACCACACAGTCTAAGTAAAATTTTTACAAAAAATATTAAGAAAATGTCACAGATTAATTTTAAATGTGAAGATTTAAGATAAACATACATTTTTCTTGATTAACTTTCAGAAAATTAAGAAAATGAAAATTTAGAATGATATATTTGATGTACACAAAAATTCAAAGAACATTAGAAGTTTGAGAGAAGAGTATTTTAAATATTAGCTCTTTAAGAAAGCCCATAGCATTCCAAGTTTAAATGTTCTGCTATTTAAAAATTTAAATATCAAATATATTTTGATTTAACCCTATTAATATATATTGGTTTTGTAAGTGGAAATTAATATTTGTTATTAATTTAAGATTTTTATCATATGTTACATTTTTATTTCATAATAAATACGTTTTACATTTGTCTTTAATGTTGATATTATAATGTCGACATTTAATTTACATAGATACAACTTCATATATTAGAATATTAATATTACTATATTGTATAATTATATAAATTGTATCTGTTTTAATCTACTTCACATTAAATTATATCCATCAATTATTTTTGTGAATTTTAAGATATCAATATTATCAAAATATTGAATTATCTGTTTTTCACTGAAAATTTTTAGTTAATCAACATTTTTCATTTAATATATGTCAGTAAATAATTGTTCTTTAAAAATATTTAATATTTACTCATATTTACTTTATTTTTTAAATGATATATTCAAATATTTTATTATATACCATATTTTTTAAAATAAAATTTTAGAATTTTAATGTGATATGTAATAGAAGTAAAATTTGAAATATTTATTAACTTTGCTTTGTGTAGGAATAAAATATAAAAGAATATATATCTTTTATTTACTTTATAATTATTTTATCATAGTTAAATTGTTTATAACATTTAAATAATTCACTGAAAGATGCTATAATATATTAAAAAAAAGGCATTATTTTGTATTATCGAGTAATTATCAACTGAAGTTTATGAAATTTTATTTTCATTTTTTTCTTTCTGAAGAATAACATTTAAGATTAGTGATTATATTGTTATATTTATGGTTGACAAAATAACTCTTAAAGGCAACTTCCAATTTAGTGAGAAAATGAAAAGTTCATGGTATTTTGAGTTCTCAGTAAATCTGAAAATTATTTGAACCTAATTGTGTGCAATAATAATCATTGTACTATGTTTCAATATGTGATAAGGAAACTAAATAAATTTAATAACTAGACACACTGTTGAGAACAATATATTGACTGTTTTGCACATGCATTCTTGCTGTCACCAAGCATGGTAAATCTAAAATCTGATGAATTTGTCTCCCTAAATTGGGAGTTGACCGCAATATAGAAATTTTTAAATTATATTTTCAGAATTATTATGATGATTATTGAATAAAAGTGTTAAATAACACATCTCATTTTTATTGACAAATAATAATTACTAAATAAAGTGTTATAAATGTAAATTTTTTATTGTAGAAAAAAAATATGCTGACCATGTTAATAAGGATATAATAGTAAGTATAAATTGTATATTTTAAAAATTTTTAATTTATTATTTCTTATTTAAAATATTTTACTTATAATGTAATTGGTAGTCTGATTATTAAAGGTCAAATAGTTTTTTAAATCTTAATGATTTTTAGAAATTATTCTAGCTTCAGAATTATTTGTACTGTACAATAAAACAGTTTTATGGTGTTTCTGCTGTAATAAGAGAATTTTTGAAAAAACAATGATGATTATCTTATTCTTAATTAATTTTTTTGTGAAATCAGTTAAGTTTGAAAAGAAAAATACCACATTTGGATCAGAATAGTGAAAATAAAATTTATTACTTAGATATCTAGACATCAATTTGAGAAAAAAGAAAAACAGATTAGTAACAGTCATTAAAAGAAGAATGAATGCCTCATTGTAACATATACATGCATATATATTGACAGAAGCATAAAAAAACTTATTTTAAAAATTTGAGAACTCTAGTGTTAGTGTTTTGGTGGAGAATTTGAAGTTTCTTTTCTTTGGCAGGTTAGATCTCAAAAATGAAGTGGAATTTGAATTACTTTTGATCCTGGAATTTATCTCTTAAGATAAATAATATATATATTTAGAGAGGTAAAAAACAACATTTACAACATTATGGCATTGCATGCTTCACTTGATTTTTACATAAATTTGTAAACTTGGTATGGTGGTTGGGTGTGTGTTTATATATATATATATATATATAAACACACACCCAACCACCATACCAAGTTTACAAATTTATGTAAAAATCAAGTGAAGCATGCAATGCCATAATGTTGTAAATGTTGTTTTTTACCTCTCTAAAAAGTTTGTTTTTAGAGAGGTAAAAAATACTTTTTATAGTGAATGAATTTATTTCAATTTTACAATAAAATAGTAAAAAACTCATTAAATTACAAATTCTCTGGAATATCAAAATGATGTAAATATAAGCTGTAATGATTAATTAAAAATTAAGTATAATAAGTCCTGGTAATAGAAGATACGTTATTATAGACGAAAATTTATATTTTAATAAGCTGTAATGTTTTAAGTGCCAAAAGTCATGTGACTTACACTTTGGCACTTTAAAAGTTATGGCTTCACATAAATTCAACTTCAATATCTGGCCATTTATGGTGCCACTATCATCACAATATTTTTATGCAACATAAAACATAACATTTAGAATTCAATTCTTCAATAAAGCATAGAGAAAAATGGCATTTACATCATTATGGCATTGCACACTTCAAGTATTTTTTTTAATGATTTTGTTGCATCAAGCATTTATTTATTGTATGAACAGAAAGATCTAAGAAAGGAAGTTAGGAAAATCAAACAATATACAGTGAATATTGGAATATACAGATAGTTGTATTCAGAGTTGACGCTAAAGTTTATGCTGCCTGGGGCAAGATATGTATTTGATGCTCCTTATCCCTTACATAAAATGAAAAAAAAATTGTTTTGAAATGCCATACCAATTAGAAGTACTATCAATCAATATTCAACTCATGCCATGTAATATAAATAAAAATTTTAAAATATTTTAAAAAATAATATACCTGAAAATTTTGTACGAATTTGTGAAAATTTGCCATCCTTGTTAGTATTAAAACACTCAAAAACTAAATTTTATGATCATCTTAATCAAATAGTCTTAAACTAAAAATATTACATAGAAGAGAAATATATTGATAAGTTATAAAAAAATTAAGATATTTTGTAAGTAATTCTCTAGAAAACTGAATATTATTATTAAAGAGAAGAAAACATTTACTTTAAAATAAAAAGTCTTTATTTTGACATATTATGAGTTGCATTGCCATATCCCATCAAACCAAGCTAAACCTACATATTGATAGAACTTATCATTTTTTGCAAGCCTTGTTGCCTAATAACCATGTAAGAAAATTGTAAAATCTATATTTAAAGTAGCCCAAAATGACAAAATTTTGTGCATTTCCTATGAAATTTTTTTATTTATTCCATATGTAATTAAATATAAAAAATTTTTTGATAGGATGCAGTTGAAAATTTAAGTGAGTCCATTTTTCAGTCGTGGACAAGGGTTTCTATCTACTTAAGTGGAAAATTTTTTTACATGGGAACATTTTACATGGGAAAAATTCGCAATCCCTCATGGAGAAAAAATTTGAATTTTTGAATTAAATTTCTCACATGGAAAAGCTTCTAATGTAGGAAATTCTTAATTAATTTCTACTGTTATTGTTTATCCAGCATTTCAAAATTATCCACTATTAACTTATACAGTGATTCCAATGTATAATTACCTGACTGTGCCAAAACTATTTGTATCCATGGAAGAGAGAAAATTATACAAATAAAAATTTTAGAACCTAGTACTGGGATAGTATTTACCTGATAATGATCAGGGGGTTTACTCTGAAACAATTCCAAATTCATTTGATCAGGATCACTTGCTTGAAAAGCAATTGGTTATGAACTTGCAATATTTTTTGGCAGTCTTTCATAAAAAAAATGCAAATTTCTTTTCTGTCATTCCTTCCAGTTTTTATATTTTGTTACATTCCAGTCTTCTGTGTTCCCTCTTTTTCATATTTTCATCTTGATCATGTTGTGAAGACAGAGGCGATCTCAAAAGAGGTTTACAATTAAGTTCTGTACCAGAGCAAACCAATAAAATTTGAATTATCACAATTCTAACAATGATTGAGCAAAAACCAACACCTTGGTTTGATGTAAAGGAATCTGCATTGTACCTTTGATAAAATAGTCACCAGTCATTGCAAGATCTACTAGTGCTCCCTGTATATCTAAAAATATTATAACAGAAGTGCTTGACTAGATTCTGTGTGTTTTGTTTTAATTCCATATTATGTTAATATCAGAAAGATTACAGTTCTGTCTACATCAGTGATATTACTTAAAGTTTACTATTAAAATTTAAATCAGCAGTGTAATAAGGATATTTATTTTTTGCCATATAAATTTAAGCTGTAATATTACAACTTTTGCATTTTTAAATCAACTGATTCAAATCTACATTAATACAGATTTTTATATTTTACATGTTTTTATATCATAGTTTTATATGAGTATTGAGAATAAAATTTAAAAGTAATTTTCAGTTATTTAAATTTGAATTAATTTTAAACTTATAACTATTTGAAATTTAAAAATATTTATTTATTAACATAGAATATTATGTAATTTTTAGTTAATGATGGTGAAAATATATATTAAACGATTAGAAGAAAATACAAAACGGACACTTCCAGGTTATCATATAACATTATCAACAGGCATGGTAATTATTAAAATTAATTTTGTTTTTTATTATTTATGTAGAAATTGTGTAATTATATTATAATTTTTAGTTAAATTTACAAAAATATTTTTGATTCTGTGTTACAGTTTACGTTGTGGTTTCAAAAACAAGTAAATAACATGTCCTAAAAGCTTTTGTTAGGTCCAATAATGATCATTCAATGACTTCTAACCTTAAAAAATTATAAAAATAACAAATTCAAATTATAAACTCTACACTAAGATTAGTTATACAAAAAATAACTCATTTTAATTTATAAAGCTAAAAATCTACAATAATTGATTACAGTAGAGTGTCATTTATCCGAAGGTTGGTTATCCGAATGAATTCCAGTCGACAAATTTAAATTTTTGCCAGTGCTGTGGCGCTGTAATTTTTGCCTATGTCTTCGGCTACTCAGATATTTTACGTTTTTGATACTAAATTAACTTCTGAAGTATAATTTTTTATTGTTTTTATATTTTTCAATATATTTATTTTGTTTGTACAAAATAAAAAAATAATTTTTAACGATACAATAGTCTTCATTTGGCTTAACATCGACGAAAATTCAACGCGAAGCGACACGCAACGGACAAAAATTTCAACACGGGATAAATTAATATATTTTTCGTACATAATTGGTTATCCGAAAAATAAGTTATCCGAACGACCCCAGTTCCCAATTGATTCGGATAAACGACGCTCTACTGTATTTATTTTCATTTTTACAGCATATGAATAGCAATACAGTGTACTATTTACAAACACGATTTTACACTAATCTTTTTTCAGATAATGTTTAAAAAAATTTTAGAAATTAAATTTTTTGAAATTTTATTATTATTATTATGTTGAGTTTAGTGAGTTTTACTCGGTTCACACTGGTGGCTGTGTACTATGCCGGACCAGAGTCAAGGCATAGCAACCAAAACAAAACTAAAATTAAATAAGTGTGTCAGTGTCTGTATTCAGGAATTTCCTAACAATGTGGCATGTATTCAATATAGTGGCCTTCTGTAGTGTGATGTATGTATTTCTACTCAATTGTAATGTTCCCAGGCTTTTGTGTAGCGTGTGTGGTATCACACCTGTACAGGAGAGAACGACAGGTACAATAAGCACCCTATCCATCCTCCACAGATGCCTTATTTCCTGGGCGAGTTCTGTGTACTTGCTAATTTTTTCAGTGCATGTGTTTTGTACATTGTGAGTGTTTGGAATGGCTATGTCTATAATGTATGTGATTTTATTGTGTTTGTCAATGAGTGTGATGTCTGGTCTGTTGTGGTAAATTGTTTTATCTGTGATTATGGCTCTGTCGTAATACATTTTGTGCGTGTTATTTTCCAATACTGTCTGTGGAATATACTTGTAGTATGGTTCGTGGATGTCTGCCAATTTGTGTTTCTTTGCAAGCTCTTGGTGTATTATATTTGCTACTTGATTGTGTCTATGTAAGTAATCTGTCTGTGCCAAGAGCTTGCAACCAGAAGTGATGTGTTGTATAGTTTCTGGCATGATGTGACATTTTCTGCATGTGTCATTTGTGAGTGTTGTATCTTTGAGTATGTGTTTTCTGTAGTTTTTAGTATTTATGACCTGATCCTGTATGGCAATCATGAATCCTTCCGTCTCCCCAAAGAGGCATCCCCGATCTAACCAGCTGTTTGACGCAGTTTTGTCAACAAAATCCTGGGCCAGGTCGTAAGGATGCCTGCCATGGAGAGCCTTTTGAGCCCATGATTGCTTAATGTTGTCTATGCTTTTTATATGTTGTGTCATGTCTGTATGTTGTGAGTGTAAGTTTAATGGTGTGTTATTTGAGTCTGCTAGAGTTACTGCTTTATGTAACTGTGATGTTTCTTGTTTCTTGTAGAAAAACTCTCGCAGTGACTGTATTTGTTTGTAGTGAAGGTTAACTATGTCAATCAGGCCACGTCCGCCTTCTTTACGTGGAAGGGTTAATCTTTCTATGGCGGATTTAGGATGATGGCGGATTTAGGATGATTATTATTATTATTATTATTTGAAAATACTGTGTATTTGTAAATTGCTGTTGTTGTTGATGATGATGATGATGATAAGAAGAAGCATCATGGGCACTCCATGGCAGGTATATAGGATTTTGTTTGCAAAACTATGTGAAACAGCTGGTTAGCTCAGGGATGCTTCTTTGGGAAGACAGAAGGATTCATGATTGCCATACAGGATCAGGTCATAAATACTAAAAACTACAGAAAACACATACTCAAAGATACAACACTCACAAATGACACATGCAGAAAATGTCACATCATGCCAGAAACTATACAACACATCACTTCTGGTTGCAAGCTCTTGGCACAGACAGATCACTTACATAGACACAATCAAGTAGCAAATATAATATACCAAGAGCTTGCAAACAAACATAAATTGGTAGACATCCATGAACCATACTATAAGTATATACCACAGACAGTATTAGAAAACAACACGCACAAAATGTACTACGACAAAGCCATAATCACAGATAAAACAATTTACCACAACAGACCAGACATCACACTCATTGACAAACACAATAAAATCACATACATTATAGACATATCCATTCCAAACACTCACAACGTACAAAACACATTCACTGAAAAAATCAGCACGTACACAGAACTCGCCCATGAAATAAGGCATCTATGGAGGGTGGAAAGGGTGCTTATTGTACCTGTCGTTCTCTCCTGTACAGGTGTGATACCACACACGCTACACAAAAGCCTGGGAACATTACAATTGAGTAGAAATACATACATCACACTACAGAAGGCCACTATATTGAATACATGTCATATTGTTAGGAAATTTCTGAATACAGACACACACACACTGACACAGTTTTTAATTTTTGTTTTGTTTTAGTTTAACACACTACACCCAACAATAATAATAATATTTTTTTACTAGAATACACGTGAGCAGTGATTATTGTAAAACAATTGAATTTGCTCCTTTGAATTAATTGAACAATTGAATAGAATTGTTCAATTAATTCAAAGGAAACATTAGGCTTTAACAACAGCACATACATTACATTATAGATAGCAGTCATACTAAACATATTAAGGAAATTCTTAAACATAGATATGTACATAAACAGCACATAAACAACAATTTTTTCTGTATCTTTGTCTTAACTGTAATCTGACATTGATTTAAGCCAAATAGGATACATTTCATCAACAACACAACAACAATGATGACAAAATCAAACTTATTAATAAAATTTTTATAACATTATACAGTAGAATTTCTTTTAACAAAGATCAGCTTTTTGTTAGAGAAGTTATATATTATTTTCAATAACACTACAGTATTTCAAATAGAGTAATAAACATTTTTTTGACTTTTTTTCATTTTGAAAGAAAAAGTAATTGGTTTTGTTTTTATTTCATTCTGCAAAAAATATTAAAGTTTGTTAAGATATTTTAAATTTTCAAAAAACATTGAAATGCATATATTTTGTTAATGAGCACAAATTTTATATTTTTGTAAATCACATTTTTTTTATTTAAATATTTTTAGATTATTCATTCATCCTTTAAGGTATTGAGCAGACTACTAATTAAAATTATTTGTAAAAGTCTTAAAGTTAGCTAAGTAATGGAAAAGTATTTAGGTTTAAAAATGTATACTTGACTGATAAAATTGTAGTGATATCTTTTAATTTAATGAAAGAATTGATTGAAAGAACTAATAAATATTGAAATATAAAAAATTAAATTATTACTTTTATATATTTTTTTAAAAAAATAGTTGAACATCAATACTTTATAGTTTATATTATTCTTTTATGTGAAAAATAGATGAAGCCATCTTCTTTTTATGGAAACAGACAATCATGGCTAAATAGTGTTCCTCCTTTTAATGGTAAGAATTCAAATTTTAATTCATTTTAATTCTATTAACTTTTAACTGGAGTTTCATAAAAGACATTTTTAAATTTTAAGATGTCACTTTGTAACAATGTCAGAAAACAGATAATTATTAACTTGAGAACATCTGTGTAACTGCTAGTAAATGCATGGGTATTCCACAGTCCATTTGTATTTTTATTATGTTTGCTGTAATTAAATGTAATTTAGTGTTAATCACGTTACTTTAAATATTTTAATTTTTATTTTTTGCAGATTACAATATTGAAAAGAAACACTTTTTAAAATTAATGCTATATAAAAATCAAACCCATGCTCTGCAGAAAGAATAATTACTAAAATCATCACCAAACACATTTGGCTGCTAAGACACATTTATTTGCTATACACTAATGTTTTCAGTTTAATTCATAGGCCATCCTCAGGTGCCATATTTTTGGAATGTCAGTTACAACTGTTCTAAGATAGAATACAATAAATATAGTATATTAGAAGATTAAATTTTAAAATATTTATATATAAGTGAAACACTATAAAAATTTTTAAATGTAATCTTCTATACATCCAATAAATAAAAAAAAACATAAAAATTCTAACCAAAAAATAACATTAAATTTTAACATAAACGTCACACAATAAACTTTTATGTTAGAATTTAATTTTTAGCAACAATACCACAAACCATACATTTCATAAGCTGTTCTGGCATAAAAATGACTCAGTCTGATTATTAGAGAGATGTTATTTTTTACTTGATTCATAGAATCAGATTAGAGATTTATTTCATTATTAATTGTTGTTTATTATTGCTAAATATGTTTATCACCTTTTATAAATCATTATAAAAATAAAATAATTTTATTTAAAAAGTTTAAAATTTTAATATTTTTTGTCATGTGTCTTTTATTGATGATTTTTTTTTATAATCTGTTGAAAGTCTTCTAGATTAAGTTCAAAAGTTTTTAAGTATTAAAATTTTAAATTGTTAATTAAAATAGTTTATAATAATTTTCTTAACTGGAGATGATCTAAATTAAAATCAAAAACATTTTTATTTAAATAATTTTGGTATCTCAATCTCTACTTTAACAGTTTGTTTGTTTCATCGTCATCATGCCAAATTTTGTGAATTTTTATGTTAAAGCAGCTTTTTTAGAATTTTGTTATTGATTTCCTTGTTTCCCTGATAAAAAAAATTAACTTATTGATTTAATATGGAAATTTTAATTTAATGTGATTTTCTAATAAGGATAGTTGAATAAACATTTATTATTTTGTTAATTTAATTTTAAAGTAAAATTTTATATATAAATATTGAATTTGAAGTCAATTATTTTTTTATCCATTAAACAATTATACATTTTCTAAAAACTCATTCCTAAATATGAGCTTATTATTGGCTATATATTAGGGTTAGATAGTATGTTTAAACTATATATAAGGTTACATTTTAATAATATATTAATAAGTTTTAGATTAATATAATGCAATTTGAAATATTTTGTTATTATTACTGAAACTATTGATAAAATTTTGATGTATTAATATTCAGGCTAACATTTTAGAACACAGTGAAGTATCTTGATAAAAAAAATCCTTTTATTTTCTCATTTCAAGGTTTTATTTTATTAACAGCTGTATAAAGTTGAAACAGATGACTGCCATCTGTTTTAATTTTAGTAGTTGATAGCTAAACAAACCATAAATTATTCAGTATATTTGTAATAAAAAAGTTTTCAAATTCTGATAGATTAATGCAGTGTCATAAAATTATTTCCATATGTGAGCAATATTACTCTTAGCAAAGAATATCTATAAAAAATATAAATTTTTATCTTATTGTACTGTTATCTACATGCTATTCAATAATTTTAAAATTAAATTTAAAGCATATTCCTACAATATATTGGAAGAAAATAATATTTTTTAGTTGATATTCTTGGTAAAATGTGACCAATATTTGGAAGGTAAACTACTACTGTTAAAGGTCTTGAGTTTCAAGAACTTAAAGATTTTATTTTAGACAATTATGAGAAAATTTTTAATAAAATAATCAAAAACCAATTTTCTAATGAGAAATTATTAGCTTGTCCCACAAGTAGTTTGTGATTGAAAATAACTATTGACAAACTTACTATAAACTTTAAGTGTTGAAGAACATGTTTTTTTTTTAAAGTTGAATGATTAAACTACAGAGAACAATGTTTAAGAAAACAAGTTTCAAATAAATTGTCTTTGAAATAAATAAAATATAAATAAGATTGCCATGCACGGAGTTGAGTTGTTGAGTTGGAAGATTGTAGTATTCTTTTGCTTGAGATTTTAAAATTTTTTAATGATTGTTTACAATTAGTGGATGTTTTGATAAATGAAATGAGATAAAGTTAACAGGTATAAAAAAAATATATTAAAATAATAAACATAATATCTTTTGCTTTCCAAAATATGGAAATTAAATGGAAAATATTTAAAACTATGAAGAAGTGGAGTGAGAAATTAAATTTGCTACATCTGATAATTTGGTACCTGATTGGTATAATTCTTTTATTATTTTGAGTGATTTATGACACCATCAAAACAGGGGTGCAAATTTCTGATTGAAAATACAATTAAGAAATTTACTGTTAAAAAATACAGGGAAACAAATAGATCTAGAAAACCTTTATTATACAGTATATCCAGTGTCTGCACAGACCTGGAAAGTTGAAGAATAAGATTTTTAGCAGAGAAAGTCAGGTAATGGCATTAAATGTCAGGAAATCTGCAATTGTGGAATTCATCTGTGGCTCTTGCTCCTTTTTGATCAAAATTGTGGAAATAAAATTGTAAAAATAATAATAAAAAGCAGAAATTAACATTTTCAGCAAAAACTGCATTTGCCCATGTCTGTTATAGGGGATCAACGAAAACTGAAGTGACCAAAAGAATGGCAAGATTTGTCACACAAGATTATATCTTGTAAACTATAAATGATAATGTAATGATTAAAATTTTGTTAGATAGAGTGTTTTTGTTTGTATTTAAAATGGTGGTTAGTGGGAGTGTGCAGCTCTGAGGGGGTTTGTGATTACACATGAACACTGAAAATGGCAATACCATACAGCATTTGAGCAGTGTATAACTTTGGATTGCGAAGAGATAGGACATTGAAATTGGTGTTGATTTGTACAGAATGGCAGGATCTACAATATTATTTAGCAATAATAACCAATAAAATAGAATATGTAAAGTTATAAACTGATAAGTGTGCAAGTTGAAGAAAATTTTCATAATGTCAAAGAAATTGAAAAGGAAATGGGAACAGAAATGTAAGAAACATAAATCATTAAAAATAAAAATTTAAAAGGAATCAGAAAAGCCCTAAATGCTTTTCTGATTCCTTTTAAATGCTGAACAATGCAGATTTTATATAGAGCATAAGAAAACCAGTGTGTCAACTCCAACAATACTTCAAGTGCACTGCCACCTGAACCAATATTGATTTGGAATGTGATAATCACCAAGACTATTCATTTACATCTTCCTCTAACAACACAAAGACAGATTCATGCCTTAAGTGATTGCAATAGTGTTCCAAACACAACTCCCAAATTTTTTGACTTGTGTGACGTTTGATAAACCTATTGCAGTCAGTTGATGCCATGGGGAGGCAAAGAACTGTCAGTTGGCTTAACAATATTGTGTACAGGACATTTTGGACCACATGGTGGACCTCATGCAATTCAAGTATTTTTATTCGTTGTATTTTTTGCTGCTGGCCACATACAGTATGTGGAGATGATAATCTTGACAATTTTGATGGATTGATGATTTGTGATATGTCTTCTCTTTGCAAATTTCCATCTTCAGGTGGCTTGCAGAATTTGAGAAGTCCACATTTTTTGGTTTTCAAAAACTTCATTGACAACGACTTGCTTTCTTGCCAAAACTCAGCTGTGCCCATTATAAGTTTCAGGGAGTGATTGGAAGAAATGTAATGACTTTGAATGGGTTAGTGCTGGACTAAAAATAGCACATGATAACCGATTTCTTTCTCTCATAGAGTGAACGATTCATTCTGTTTAAATTATTTTGAATTTCCCACCTCTTCACTTTAAGAAAATTTAATTTTTACATTAGTCTTTTTTTTATTTAATTAAATAAAATTTATGAATTAATTTAAATAAAATCACATAATTTTTTATATGACATAGAAATGATGTAGATAATTATATATAATTGATTTTATACAAATATGTTTGTTTTTTGTAAAAAGTGAATAAAGTGTTTTTTAATAAAAAATTTATATAATTGAGTGCAAAATGGGCTTAAATAGACTTGGCTGAATATTACATAATGGAAAGGAGAAATGCAAATACCTTTTCGGGGAACAATTTTCAAAATCGGTCAGGGAATCACAGATGGAATTACCTATATGGACCCTGTATGTTGTACAATAATTGGCTATTATCATTTTATTTCTACAAAAATTTAAAAATGTACAGATATCCCCCATATAACATGGTAGTTAGGTTCCAAAAAAGTACCCTGTTAGGCAAATCCATGTGATATAAAACAAAGGGCTAGTACAAAACATAGGGTTAGGTTCAAAAAATTAGCAAAAGTATTCTAGTCTTTTTTGTAATTAAGAGAAATATGGTTATCAAATTAATCAATAATTAACTGACAATCACAATCAAAGTATTGCATAGTAATATTAATTTTTTCTTCACTGCTAAACACTATTAAATGAGGACATTTTCTTTCGGAAAAATATTGTCATTTCTGCACTTTCCTGTTGACCTTAATCTGAAGTGTCAGCAACATCTTAATTTTTCTCTGCTTTTTTTTTCATAAAACCTGATGTTTTTATTTTCTTGCATTTGCATAAGAGATCTTTAAAAATCTAATGTTTATATGTAGTAACTTTTTAATTTAATCTATAAAATCAAAACATAACAATAATCTTTCAGATTCATTTAGAGCACTATCACCAACAACAGTGACATCTGGTTTATATGAAAGCTAGAATAGGAAGCTAAGGACGTTGAAGAAGAAGAATTGTACAATCAGTTCTCATTAAAGAAAACTGGATGAAAGGCACAAAACATTGAATATTCTAAAAATCCGTGGGCAAATATGAGAGAACAGACATGCTTGCTTGAATAAAATGCTATCAAATGACAGTGCTTGCACTTAAAAATTTTGACATTTTGTATAGGAATGTTTCTAATCCTTTACTTTTGTTAGAGCAAAATTATGTTGTAGGAATGCTTTGTTATATGAGTGATACCGTATTATTAATTTCTACATTTCTCTATTAGGAAAAGAGGATTTCTCACTCAAAATGTGTTAAATTTTTACACAATTAAATCAATTATCAAGACATCATTCTGCTTAATGTAACTGCTTAGTCAAACTTCATACAAAATATGTTCCAGAAATTGCTAAATTAGACAATTGTCTTGATTTCATAAATTTATTTATTTTGACTTTAAAAAATCAGTATAATTGATTGCTAACTTTTTTAGCAATTGTTAATTACATGGAAGTCTATTAATGTAATTAACAATTCATTAATCTCAATATTTTTTTTATAATGCTATCCTACATATAAAATGTGAGTATCAATTACCACTTAAATATGAGACAACTAGACAAGTAATTAAGAAATTTAAGAAAAATTTTGTAAATGTATCTTTAATGCTTGTAAATATTGTGTTTTGTATTATATTAAGTAATTATATATAACCTCCAATTGTATGAACTAGTTAAAAACAAAGTTTATTATTTATAAGACATTGCTTTAATTTTTTGTAAATAAATAAATTAAATAAATAATACTCAAAATTTTTTTCATTCAGAAATTATTTTAATCTCATGTATTTTGAAAAATTTGTTATTACCTATCATTGTTGATTAACTAATGAGAATTTTCCATTAATATTTAACTTTATAATAAACCTAGAAGACTCTCCTGACTATCTTGATTGGTTCAACTCTGATGTTTCATATTACTTTACACTCTCTCCACATTTATGTTGCAAATTACAATAATTCTTTATATTAGCAAAATTATATACTGTGATACATATAATATACATTAATTAAATAAATAAATAATTTTAAAAAATGAATAAAGAACATTTGATGGTAAGATGAAAAGTAAATTAATGTAAAATAATGTGCTTAATTTAATTGAATGTACAGACATTTTAACATTTTATGAGATGTTGAAGATTTAACTTTGGCACTTTCTACACACAAAATACTTTAGTTTTATGAAATTTCAGATTTTTCTTCCGGTTTTGACTGTACCATTTTGTTTTTCTGCAAAATGTCTGTTTCTAAAGTGGCAGTTAAATTTTACAGTTTTTAATTACACAGACAACTGCAACCATGATAGCTATTCCTGTTAACTAGCAAACTCCCTCCAACTACCGCATGAATGCAACTGCAAATATAAATAAAAAGTTTGTTTTTGTTGCACTGATTGCAAGTGCCATAAGATGAACAAATGTTTTTATGCTATCTGTTAAAATGGTGAAAAATCACAATTAATAGAACTGATCCATAATCACAAATGCCTATAGGCAAAATTTTAGGCTCTAATTTTAATGTAGCAAGTTCTTTCTTCATTAAAATTAGAGCTTTTGGTTCATCTTTCTAATTATGTGATGTCAGTTGTAACTTATACTGTTGATCATTACTGGAATTTTATTGATCACTTTGTAAATATGCTACAGCTACATCTCAAGTGTGTAAGTACTGATCCATGTATGAAACTTGTAGTTGTTGCAGTTGCCTTCACAGCTGAAAATTGCAAAGTGTGACTGCCACTTAACTAAACATTTCATGTGAGTGAGTATGTGAATGAATGAGTGAGGCTAATGTAATTTTATTATATTAGATGTATATAAAAATAAATAAATATTTAAATAATATATTCTTAATATTCAGGTCAAGGAATTAGTAGAACATGTATAAATGAAAAAAAATTAGAAAATAATTTACAAGATAATTATTGTTCTTGTTGGAATTGTAATGAAGATTTTCTTAAATTGCAGGTAAATAATTTAATTATACTGTTATGTAATTTTAATTGTATTTTTAATTATTGTTTTCAATTTATAGTCTCTGTTATGTAGCAATCTTACCAGTAAAGAAATTCTTGATTATTCTTATAACTTACTAGAGACTACTGAAATAAAATTAGGAGATATATTGAAAATATTATGTTCTGATAAAAAAACTGCAATAAAATTATTATTGGACAATTATATTAATGCAGTGCTTCCATATGCTTTTGATAATTTTACTGATGAAGAAGAAGAGGTAATTAACATTTTTATTTTATTTTTAAATAATCCTGCATTTTAAAACTATTATATTTTTCTATTTTCTGTAAATTACTAAATACATTTATTATAAAAATTAAATAATACATTTAATATACATAGTATACAGGGTGTATCAGAATGATGTTTTAAAAATTTGGGGGATTGTAGAGGATGAAATTTTGCACGTTTTGATATAAGGAACCCATAGTTGGAAATGTGATATAAAGTTTTTACAGCACTTTGCACTTTGCAGTTGGTATGCTGAATGAAACAGCAGAATACAGTATTTATGACAAGTTTTATTGACAAAACAATAGAGTACAATCAAACTGTACATTGAATCGGTGGCTGCACTATTTTAGAGTAAATGTTCAATGTGACGACTACCAACTTTGTTACATAATGTGCAACAATGAGCCATGTTTTGTCCGACTCTCTGTAAGATGTCATGCTCTCTTCTGATGGTATTAAATGCTGTAAAGATGCGCTCCGTAAGCTCTTGAACTGTTCCTACAGGTGTTGCGTACACAAGGGACTTTACATAACCTCAGAGGAAGAACTCAAGAACAATAATATGACGTCAATGGACTGAAGGGTAGCTACCAAAGTGAAGAAACTTACCTACTGCTGTAGAAACTTTATATCACATTTCTGGCTATGGGTTCCTTATATCAAAATGTTCAAAATTTCATCCTCTACAATCCCCCAAATTTTTAAAACGTCATTCTGATACACCCTGTACATATATATGCATTTACTATCACCTTTATACTATTTACACTATTGCATTTTTACTGGTTGCTATGTATCATGTGGNAATATTAAAGTTTGTTAAGATATTTTAAATTTTCAAAAAACATTGAAATGCATATATTTTGTTAATGAGCACAAATTTTATATTTTTGTAAATCACATTTTTTTTATTTAAATATTTTTAGATTATTCATTCATCCTTTAAGGTATTGAGCAGACTACTAATTAAAATTATTTGTAAAAGTCTTAAAGTTAGCTAAGTAATGGAAAAGTATTTAGGTTTAAAAATGTATACTTGACTGATAAAATTGTAGTGATATCTTTTAATTTAATGAAAGAATTGATTGAAAGAACTAATAAATATTGAAATATAAAAAATTAAATTATTACTTTTATATATTTTTTTAAAAAAATAGTTGAACATCAATACTTTATAGTTTATATTATTCTTTTATGTGAAAAATAGATGAAGCCATCTTCTTTTTATGGAAACAGACAATCATGGCTAAATAGTGTTCCTCCTTTTAATGGTAAGAATTCAAATTTTAATTCATTTTAATTCTATTAACTTTTAACTGGAGTTTCATAAAAGACATTTTTAAATTTTAAGATGTCACTTTGTAACAATGTCAGAAAACAGATAATTATTAACTTGAGAACATCTGTGTAACTGCTAGTAAATGCATGGGTATTCCACAGTCCATTTGTATTTTTATTATGTTTGCTGTAATTAAATGTAATTTAGTGTTAATCACGTTACTTTAAATATTTTAATTTTTATTTTTTGCAGATTACAATATTGAAAAGAAACACTTTTTAAAATTAATGCTATATAAAAATCAAACCCATGCTCTGCAGAAAGAATAATTACTAAAATCATCACCAAACACATTTGGCTGCTAAGACACATTTATTTGCTATACACTAATGTTTTCAGTTTAATTCATAGGCCATCCTCAGGTGCCATATTTTTGGAATGTCAGTTACAACTGTTCTAAGATAGAATACAATAAATATAGTATATTAGAAGATTAAATTTTAAAATATTTATATATAAGTGAAACACTATAAAAATTTTTAAATGTAATCTTCTATACATCCAATAAATAAAAAAAAACATAAAAATTCTAACCAAAAAATAACATTAAATTTTAACATAAACGTCACACAATAAACTTTTATGTTAGAATTTAATTTTTAGCAACAATACCACAAACCATACATTTCATAAGCTGTTCTGGCATAAAAATGACTCAGTCTGATTATTAGAGAGATGTTATTTTTTACTTGATTCATAGAATCAGATTAGAGATTTATTTCATTATTAATTGTTGTTTATTATTGCTAAATATGTTTATCACCTTTTATAAATCATTATAAAAATAAAATAATTTTATTTTTATTTTTAGTGGTGTTATTTATTATCTTTACTGAGAAATAAATTAGATGCAACTGATGAAGAAAAACACAGTACATTACACCAAACTTTTCAAGGTAAGTTTTAAAGTATATAAATTATTTTAAGTGAATATTTTAAAAGCATATCATATTTATCCAGTTAAGAATATTTACAGGTGTTCTTTCTCATCTTTCTGAAATTCTTCATCCAGCAAAGTTTGTTGCTCTTTTAAATAAAGATGAAAAATGTTATATTCCATTCATTAAACGATGCATAGAAAAACACCAGGCTAATCAACTTAAGGAAAAAATTATGTCTCTAGGAATGGAAATTAAAGCAATGATGTAATAGAAAAATTTTTATTTTGTTAAAATTTGAAATGGTGTGAGATTTTTAATTAGTATTGTGTCTTTTCAACACTAGATGCCATTGATTATAAGACTAGGTATTGATTTAAAATTGAAATGGCACAAAAAATTATTTATTAACTCTACTATAAATTTATAAAAATTGAAAAAATTGTTTTATTTATATAATTATCTATACATTTTATTTTGGCTAAAATGCTAAACAGATAAATGAAAAAGGTTTATTTATCCATGCATCTTTTTTACTTTTCTGTATGTATAACATATGTCTGTTTCTGTTTAAATAGTAAATAGAATCAACATTTTGTTTAAATTCAATACCTATATACACCTGTCCAAAACTTAGGGATGGATGACATTTCTACATGAATAGAGAGAAATGTAGATGAATACATGACAAGAACTGTACTTCCTGACATCTAACAGAACAATTTGCAGGACTTTATAAATTAAAGTAATAAAATTAAATCTTTAGTGAAAAAGATACTTACAGCAGTTCAACATAGATGGAGAATGGATGGAAAGTGCTGACCAATACCTAGACAGAGAAACCTGTCAGCATGGAATATGTCCAACTTAAAGTGCAATGCAGCACTAACAATGTCATGGTAGGCTCATTACCAACTGGCTCGGTGACTTTTCCTAGCAATTGTGTTTATCCCTAAGTTTTGAACATGAGTAGTATAGCAAATGCACTTAACTGAAGTTATAGTAGAGTAAATAGATGCTATGAAGGTCGGTCATGTTCAAGTAGTGACACCTTTGCATCTTCACTTGACAATTGTCAAGTTTTTTTTTACATTTATTGTAAGATGATTTTAATTTCCAAAATGTTAAAATATGAAAAACATGTTTAAGAATTCAGGAAATATGATATTAATTGAACAAAATATTCTAAAAAATTCAGATATTTATAAGCTTGCCAACTCTGTACGAGTTGATTTTGGAAGATTTCCATTTCAAGAGATTCAATGTATTTTGCTCTCAGCAATATCAAAGCACTAATTCCTATTCTTTAGTCTGTTTTAATATATAATTGAAAAGTTGATAATTTTGTCAAGTAAATACAGGAAGAATAAAATTCAGTTTAGGACTCCAAGAATTTCAAAATTTTTGCCAAAGTTTGGAGTCTCCAAATAAGTCTATGGGAGTTGGCAGATACATAGGCTGTTTTTTTTCCAAGCTCCAATGGTCCATAAAACAAAGACAAGTGTAAATAATAAAATGAATTTATTACCAAAAGTTAGGTACAAACGTGGTTACTTTTTGACAATCACCATGAAGATTGAGGCATTTGTCATATCTGTGGATGAGCTTTTCCATCCCCTTGTCATAGAATGTTGCCGCCAATGACTTGAAATGGGCCCTAACGTTGTTTTGAAGATTGTCATTAGTTTTGAACCTCTTCCCTTCTAGCCACTTTTCCTGTTCAGGAAAGAAGTAGAAGTTTCTTGGCGTTAAATCGGGACTATACGCTGGGTGTTTAAAGGTAGTGAAGACTTCCACCTCTTTCCTGAACTGAAAACATGGCTATTAGGGCAGAGGTTTGAGAATAATGACAATCTTCAAAACATTGTTAAGGCCATCTCAATTCACTGGTGGCAACATTCTATGACAAGGGGATGGAAAAGCTCGTATGACAAATGCCTCAATTGTCATGGTGATTATGTCGAAAAGTAACCATACCTAACTGTTTGTATCTAACTTTTGGTAATAAATTCATTTTGTTATTTACACTTGTCTTTGTTTTATGGACCATTGGAGCTTGGAAAAAATTGCCCTTGTATTTAGTTTTATCTATGGGTGCCAATTGTCCTGGCTTCACTCCCAACATCCTATTTAAATCTCTAATTTTGAGATGTAAGTGGGGTACCAATTTATATTCAAAGATTTCAGAAACTTATTGTTATTTTAATAATTTTTTAAAATTGCTTTGTGTTTATAAGATAGTACTCATTAAAACACTAAATTTTAAGAAATGATATCTTTTGAAATAAATATTTTGTGTATAATTATGATTTTATGTGAAATATATATTTTAACATTAACATTATTTATTAAATAAAAATTATTGTATAAATATTTATTTAAGATATTAAGAATGAAAATGTATATAATTAACATAATAAATTTTGAAATTTTCATCCCAATTTAAAATTTCTTACATATGATAATATTTAAATTTACATGTCATTTGAAATTAAAGCCACTTTTAATTTATTACATAAATTTTATCGGTATTAAGAACTGATGATGAAAGTAAAACTAAATTGGAATTATGTATAAATTTAAAATTAAACGTATAATCTTTTTAAATGGAAATGGAATTAATTTTGAGAATTATCAATATAAATCTCCACAATATAGTCTAATAATATAACAACATGGGTCATGTTGCCTGGTAAAGTGGCTTTAGATACAACTGCATAATCAAGCCAATGACATAGCCTGTTTCAGGTGAAGTGGGCTATGTGCATATCTGTATATAGCCCACTAAAAAATGGCTCTACATGAACCATTTTTTATTGGCGGAATATGCATTTCAATGGTAATGATATTCAAATTTTTCTTATACTGAAATGATGTGTTGTTCTGTCTTTATCAGCCTACCAGTGGCTGAGTGGATAACACCACTGAACACTGGTAGTTAATCCTGGGTTCATGCCTTGCCAATGAACTGGCCACGTGGAATTTTCTGGGTTTTCTTCACATTTCTAACACCTAAATAGGGGCCAAGTTTCTCTTAGAAAGTCCTCCCAGGAGGCATTTCCCTTTGGAAAATTGCCCACATTGCATTGTCGTATACAAATAAACCAAAAACTGGATACAGGGGCAAAATGTATACTCTGCCCTCATTATAATTAGTACAGGGGCAACTGCCATTTCTGTACTAGCTCCAGCACTAGTGTTTATCCATGTGACTTCACTGAATTGATATGTAATTTATTCTATTTTGATTTATTTGATGTTGTGCTACATGAAATAGCAAATATATATTAAGTACATATTTAAAAGCATTTAATTTTATTTAAATTTAACAAGTTAACAATATTTTTACCTCACTTATCCTGAAACAAGATATGAACACCATCCCATATTTCTTTAACAAAATTTATTAATGAAGAGTTAATTTACATAAAGTATTTGCAATATTTGGCTGTTAATTTTTAATTAGTTAATTATGTATATTCTTATTTCATGAGCATCCAAACTTCATTCGTACGTTTAAATGGCATCCAAAAAGGATCGTAAGTGCAGGCATAATATTTCGAGGTGTCAACGTTATGCAAAACTTTTGTAGCACTATTGGCTAAAATCTTTGCTTGCGAATCCCATTGACTTTCCAAAACTGGCATGCCCGAGAATTGCCTATAATAATTACAAGAAATAAAAAAGTGTATATCAGCAGTTAACAAGCATTTTAAAAAAGGAACAAAATAAACATAATTCTGAAATTAAAATCATTCATTAGAAGTAAGGGAACAGGCATAGTATTGTCAAATTTATACAATTTACATCAAATAACTAAATTACATTAAATTCACTAAAATTACATTCCTTAAATAGGTTTTTTTCCTGCTTATCTTTTTCTTCAGGAGAGTGAATAATAAGTGTAAAGAAAAAAAAGAGAAAGCTTTAACTATTTTCCCTACCTGGCTGCCCCATTGTGGGTCTGCCGAACCCATAATGGGCTTGCTAGAAAAGCTCTCATAGTGTCCATAGGGCGGAAAGAGATAAAAATAATAATAATGAAGATATGACATGCTATCTGCAATCTGCAACCAGTACAACATTTAGAGCATGCAGCATAGATATTTGAGTGGTGGAACATGATAAATTTACCACAACTTCAGCATCAATGGGTGAGTGGATAAAACTACCAAAAGTTGGTAGTTTGTTGTGGATTGGCACCTGGCCGAAGACTGGCTACATGGAGTTTTCTTGGACTTTTTCACGTTTTTAACACCTAAATAGAGGCAAATAAACAAAATCAAACTAAACCTTCAGCATGTTTTATAGACTGTCGAGGCACTGTTTTCTGGAATGGAGTGTATAACTGCCACTAACGCTGTAAGTCAGGTGTAACAGACGAACAGTCGCTGAGCCTGGGAGGAATGAAGCTTTAAAATGGAACTGATAAAAAAAATCGTCAAATATATTTAATATTTTCGTTTATAGATTCATGTGAATGATCTATAAATCTATGTTTCTTGTATATAAAAATTATTTATAAATTCTTTACAATCGGAGATCATTTGTACGCTATGCTAAATTGTCTTAAATTGATTGCCTTCATTTATTTTAGTGCTGCTCATTTATACACTCGTGCAATGCCGGAAAGATCTCTCTTGCTCCTGGATGTTTAAGTGGATATCCTGTATATATTATATACAGTATAGGAATAGGAAGGAAAGGTAATGCGGCCCTCCTCAAATATAGCCACAGGGAAAGGAGGATGGGGAGGCAGGGTGCCTAGGGGAGAGGGGTAGGGCAAAAGGGGGAAGAGGAGAGATCATAAGCGCTTGCCGGGGTCCGTTGATAGTGACCAATAGAAAAATACAGGCAGTACAAGTAGTACGGGTATACGTAATCGCATACATAATCATCGTGGTTTTACAAAGAAAACCGTAGGTAATATAGAGAGAAATTGGAATATTACATGGTAAATAATACAAAAATTCAAATAAAAATACAAAAGAAATGTTGGATGATTACTTTTAGGAGACCGAGCCATGATAGATTGCGCGTACATAGTACAGAGAACAATGCCTTCCAGCGATAGGTAATCCGATAGGCCGCTGCCGACCGCTAGAATACAGACAAAATGGGCAGAAAGGCCTGTATATATATAAACAAAACTCCTACCAACACGAAAGTTAACGAATTTATACAAAAATTGTTTTGAGATTGGCTGAATGAATTTTTATATATCGGGCCCCATCCCTCACCACATTGTGGGCCTGGCCGAACATGTAATGGGCTCGATTAAAAAGCTCTTCTAGCGTCCAAGGGGCAGAAAGAGTTAAACACTTCTAAGAGTTTTTAAAACCGAGGGGGTTGTTTTTCTACTCATGTTTAAGGCACGTAATGGAATGGCCGAGTGGTGAAGAACGCAACACGACGTGAGATCCAAATTCCTTTTTGCAAACTTCGGAAAATCTGACTTGGACTTCATTACGGATCTTCACAACGAAAGACTGAAGTACCCCGATTTACTGTACTGTAATGGCTATTTAGCCGCCATTTTAAGAACTTGTTTGAATTTGTCGATATTTATTTCTATAATCTATAAGAAAGAAGGGAGAAAATAATAATAATAAATGTACCTTGCTACTAAGTGAGTTGCAGTTTGTTTATCTATCTTTACTGTGGGGTCAATTGGAATGGGTGGATCAACATATAAAGCTGATGGTAACAAGTAGGATGTTTTCACTTTGACTCCGCCAATTTTATGAGTCCACATTTCCCTTACTGGATAGGTGCAATTTATGCGTAGGGCTGTAACAAAAACATTAATCCTAAAAAATTATCCATAAATTTAATTAATTTTTCTTAATTAAAATTAACAGCTAAATCATTGATATATAATCAATAAATTTCCCATAAAAATAATATACCTTTGGTATTTTTCTTATACCAGTAACGCATAAGTTTTAAATTATTTTTGGAGGATGCAATGTAACCAAATTTACTGATACTTTCTGCAGTTACCCAAACTGAGTCTGGATAACTTCGTTCCTCAAAGTTCTAAAAACATAAAAAAAATTTTTTTAAAGAGATAAAATGTAGTATATACATACTGTACAGGACCGTCAGTAGCGGAATGGATAAAACCACTAAACACTGGTAATTGATCGAGGGTTCGCATCTGGTCACATGGAGTTTTTCGTGTTTTCTTCACGTTAGTAACACCTAAATAAGGATCAGTTTCCCATGAAATATCTCCCGGGAGGCATCTCGGCAGATCGCCCATGTGTCACGCAGCCATATACGAATAAGCCTAAACCATCGAGAGGGGGAACTGGGGTCTTTTCCCGCACCCGGAAAAAATTAAGGTCCGTAGAATTTTCTTTCCTTCTTAGTTCAAAAAAGTGACCCACTCTATATCCCAGGGGAACAAATTGGGCACCCTCCTGGCATCACGTAAAAGATTCCACAAATTATAATCATAAAGGTAATTGAGATATGTAACCTTACACTCGCGACCATGGGTCGCTTTGTCCTTCTTTTTGTATTGATGCACTACTGTATTCTATAATCTACTTGTGAGAAAATAAAATTAAAAATAAATAAAAATCTATTATTGTAATTTTTTGTCTCCACGCTCTCCACCCCCCTGGAAATTTTTTTGCTGATGCCCATGTCCTGGCTCTTGACGGTCCTGTATATGCATATATACTGTAATTTATACAAGTATAAAAACATTGTATTATAATGTATAAAAAAAGAGAATTACGAATACCGGATAAGTGTTTAAAACGTCGTATATGGGACATTCACATCCATGAATTACACATCCGACAGCAGTTGCAAGCAGCGTCTAAAAATAAACAATGTCAAGAACCTGTAAGATATACATTTATTTTTTTCAGTTTTCTTTTAATTAAACAAAGTACGTTTGTCATCTTAAGAATCCGAAAAAGTTCACGTAACTTTGTAAGTATCTAGTCCACCCTATTTGGCTGTCGTTCTTACTGAAATGTCAAAGCCATGCCAGTTAATCCAGACAAGCGGCAGTGACTCTTTGTTACATATAAAACTAGGTCAATGAGATCGCGACCTTACGACAGTTCTTAATTTTCATTCATGAGGTATAACCATATTCTTAAACGAAAGTTAGGCATAATATTCTATATGATTTGACCTTATATCTCTGCAATTATGCCTCAGAATTAGGTTACGTTGAAAACGAACCAACATTCCTTCTGTTATTTATAAACAGGACCGGCTCAGACGTGGAATTTTCGAGTTTCCGGGGGGGTCTCGGAATTTTACAAAATTTTTTATAACTATTTTGGACCTCAATAATAATTTTTTTTTCGGAGGCCCCGCAAAAACTCCAGCCGGTTCTGTTCGTAAATAATAGACTATACAAAAAATATTAAAAATCGTCACACTAAAATAATCTTATGTATAAAAATTAATTTTATTCGATAATTAAATATAATTTTAAAATAATTTATAAAAAAAATGAATTTCTATATTCTAAAATTTATATTTTAAATGAAGATCAGCAGGGATGGCTCAGACGTCGATTTTTCGGGATCTCAGAGGGGCCCGCACTTCAAATTTCTAAAAAATTTTTGATTAAAAAAGTATCTTGCAAATTATTTGGGACCCACTAATAATTTTTTTCCGAGGCCCTCTAAAAACTGCAGATCAAAATAGCCGGCCCTGTAGATCAGTCATTTTTACAATAATTGCATTTATAACTGAAAATATTGCAGTTAAATTCCGACTTACCGCAAATGCAAGCAATAATAGCTTCATGATGACTGAATGAGATCTAAGAAAAATTCTTATATATATTTATATATAAATGTTCGGTTGTTTAATAATCAAAGGGCACAAAATTGCAAAGTAAGATCTTGTTATCAAAAGGATATTTTCTGCGTTCAAACAACTTTTGTATAAATTTTGATAAATTATCAATCATGTCAGCATGTAAATTGATCGGATCGCCTGATTTCCAGAATCTCTTATATTTTTCCTTAATAGTAATTAAAATTTATCGTTTTAAATTATATATAAATCAATTTAAAGTAAAAAAAAGTGGGCAACATTGTTGCTGGACTTTTCCGGCATTTATTTATTTATTTATTTATTTTCATCCCTAATAATCGTTACCATTATCTTCAGATCAGCTCGGAAGATTAAAGATGTGGGGCCATATTTCCCGAACCAATAGTCCGATTTTCTTGAAATTTTCTAGAAACATTGCACCCTAATACACAAATTTCCCTGAAAAATTTCAGAAATTTTCGGCTAAGGGTGTAGGCGTTATTACGGTTCAAAGTATGGGAAATCATGCTTCTTATACACAGTAACATCATACATACAGAAAAAAATAATCCCCAACTTTTTTTGCATTTCTCGACGTTTCAAGGCCCCGAACAAAAACTTTAAAAAATGTTGGAAAGGTCATTTTTTGACAGATTACAATACTTTCCCTATGTTACTTAACAGCAGGGAAAGTAAAATGTAAATAATATACAACAAAATTAAAAATTTGATATTTAAAAAGTATATGATAAATATGATAATAATGAGTATATTTTATGCTATAAATTTTGTTAGGAAAAACCAAAATCAAGCTCGTATTACGCGTAAGCAAATCACAGTTCAACGTATCATCAACGCAAATATATTTAACACTTTTCATTTTTTAATGTATGAATATAAATGTAACAACATACATTTCACTTATGGATCCATAACAGAACTCATTCTCTTCTTTCTCAAAAAATTCACATACATTGCGAATAAAATAAGACATAAGTAAGCAGATTTTCAGATATTTCGGAATATTATAAACAAAATTTAAGATAAACATCTAATTTAATATTATATTTTATTTTATTATTTTATATTTTTTTAAATAACATTTTTTAAATTACATTAAAATCTCGCGCAAATTTCGTCAAAATGGTGAAAATATTCTACATCATATTAATAAACAACTTCCCGGCATTTTTATTTGTTTTCGCTCCTAATTATTGCTACCATTGCCTTTAAGTCTTCAGATTGGTTCGGGAGATATTAAGAGGATGGGCCATATCTCCCGAACCAACAGTCCAATTTTCTTGAAAATTTCTAGAAAAATTTCACCCTAACACACAAACTTCTTTGCAAAATTTCAGAAAATTTCGAATAAAAGAACAGGAATTATTAAGCTTCAAAGTGGGTATAAAAAAATCGTGCCACTTGCCCACCACCTAAACATACACTAATATCATACATACAGGAAAAAATAAGATATTTTTTCTTTATTTATTTTAATGTATTATTTAAGATTTTTATATCTATTTAAAAAAAAAAAAACTTGATAAAAAGTGGTAGGTGTGTCCCAGTTCTTATTTAAAAATTTAAATATAGAACAAAGTAAACAAACAAATTATAAAATTTAGTATTTATTTTGTATATAAATTTTAATAATTCGATTACTCGAGATAAGATCCAAGCAAGAAAACAAGGAAAAAAAAAAAAGAAAAACAAGTGAAGGAAGTTCGTTATTATCATAGCCCTTGACCATACTAACCTTCTCCTAAATTGCATCATTTTACCTCTGTAATAGATATTGTAATGGATGAATGCATTTACTACTTCATATTTCAAGAAAAAAAAAAAAAAGAATTTAAGATGTTTACAAACGATAGAAGTTCTGTGTATCTATCACTTGTACAGTACAGTACAGTACATCGAAACTTGAATCGGCTTCCCTTTATCAATGCTATCGTGCAGTTAAAACAAAGATTTCATTAATAAACCTTGCTTAAAATATATTAAATTATAACATTTTTTAAAATATAAATAACATAAATATTATTTAAACAGATTTATTTGCCGTCTCTGCGTGTATTGTATTATCTTGTGTTTGTATTGTATTCTTTATGTGTGCGATTTTTAATTTTAAAAACCAGTTACAATTAGTTTTTGTTATCGATCTTGTATTAATAGAACAGTTATAAAGCTGAATATCGTGTGTCACAGCCGTTCTATATTTGGCATTCAATTATTTTTTTAAATAAAGACTATGCACGAACGATTTTGAATTAGTGTAGTGTTCGGGTTTAGTGTGCGAGATTTTGCATAAAACAGGTTATGTATGCTACATGATAGAGTATGCGTGTGAATTAAAGCCACGTAATATTTATTTTATTACAAAACGAGTAAACACAGTTATGTAAATATTTCAATAATTATTTCTAAAACGTCTCGTAAGTTTAGCGAGATTCGAATTAATTTAATACACTCCATTTAAAACAAGAAAATAAATCATTTTGTCATAAAAAAAAAATTAAAATTCAAAACTTTTATTAAATAACGTTGTATTATTACTGTATAATACAATATTTAAATTAGTACACGTAAAAAGAAGGCGTTGGCACTTTTTTAAAATAATTGTTTACTGTTATTTCGGATATAATTTCGTTTGTACTAGCGACATCTTTCGGCGACGAGAGCAATTCCTGTTGGTGCATTTGCACTGAAGGCTGTCGGTCACGTGACTCGTAGAACACGTCAAGTTTAATTCTTTATCATATGGATTTCTTGTCGAATAGTAGTTTTAAATCTCAACGGTAGTTTTCTGTTTGTGGCTCGCTCTTTATAAAAACAAAAAAAAGCGTAGGAGACGTTTAACGATAAAATTAAATAAGTATGTGTGATGTCATAGAAGTATGAAGATCTGTTGTGTGAAAATTACATTGCTAGTAATATTTATTTCGTTTCATAGGTATGTAATACACTGTAATCAATTGTTAAAAGAGTCAAATCAACTATAACTTAAACAAATAAGTTTTTTTCTCCGAGTTATTTATAGTGTTGCTTATTGTAAACAAGCCTGGTTAATGCATTTTATTCCATTCCATCTTCATAAAAATTGTAAATTTCAGAACCATGCTTAATGAAATTGATTATTTTTTAAATATATAAAGTACTTTTGGTGTTACATCTGATGTATTTTCTTTATTTATCTCTTGCTATCAATATCGGATGCGTTATTGATAATTCAGTTGAGTTCATATATATAATAATAATAATAATTATTATTATTATATTTTATACGATGTAATAATCTGCATACATTTAAATATTGGAAGTTGGATTTTAATTTCTACATAAAATTTCTACATTTCCTGTATGTCAAATGTTAATTTTATATTATTTTATTACTATTATTTTTTAAACATTAAATTAAAATATACAGGCTATCTTTTCAGGTTCATATAAAAACAAATACTGTTTACTTTATAGACTTGCCAAAAAAAACAATACTTCATTGTTACGGATTGGCAGACTTATATAAATAAAATATTGTATAGATGTATGAAATTTTTAAATCGATTCTTATTAATATTTTATCTATTAAATATTAATAAATTCATATTGTCATAAAAAATCCAATAGTAAAATTAGTTTTTTTGTTTCTTAATTCTTCTGATTGTTGTCATTCACTGTAGGAGACCAGTTTTTTAAATCCTTATTGATTTTCTTGGTGTCGAATCGAAATTTTTTAATACATTTATAAATGTGAATTATTTGATAGTTTTTAAAACTATTTAACGAATAAAAAGTTGGATTTTTATGTAAACAGCTACAGGATTGCTGTTTAGAATCTTAAAAATTCTTTAGGTTTAATGAAGATGTAGTATTTTATGATAAACAAAATAATACAGAAATTATTGATTAAAATTTTTAATGAATGCAAATTTAACTTTTTCAAAAGTTAATAAACTTATAAATTAAATATTTATCTTTTTAGATTTTAATCATAACTTGCTTTTTTAATTGCTTTACATTCACTTTCATGTTTAATTATCATCTGTTATAATAATGATTCACTTAAACTAATAGATAAACTTTAAAAAAAATTGATAGCTATTTTGTAACTTTGTCCACTTTTGAAATATTATTAAATTATAAATTTAAAAGAATATCTCAAAGAAATTCTTTTAAGTTCTTGAAAATATAAAATTCTTTACTTGCTGAAATTCTTCCATTTCATCTTCAAATTTTATAGATGTTGATGATAGATGTTTACTAATTAATTAAATTTTTTATGTAGAGAAAATGTTAAAAAACTTTACAAATAATTACTCTTGTAGATATATTGGTTTAGTATAATGAAATCATTTTTTGCTTGTCTTTGCTGAGATCATTTATTATTTTATTATGAAATAAAGATTTTACGTTGACTTTTTGTTTTTTACAAATATTTATACAAATATGGACTTCTGGCCAATTGCTAACTAGGCAACAGAATTGCTTACCACACATCAATCATGATTTTCATTGCTTGTGAGTTCTTTAAACTGGTTTTAACTGCATTCATTCATGATGCTAATTGGTGTATTTAGAATTCCAAAGTATATGACTATTTGGATTAGTCAAAAATAAAACTTTGGTGTAATATAATGATCTTGAAATTGTTATGTATACATATACACTTATATTATTGATGCATATAGATTGATATATTTATGATATATTAATCTAAATGCAAAATTTTATGACTGATACCAGACTAAAAGAAATAGTATAGGCCTGTATATTGAAAATATATATTGTATATGATTTTCCCTTAACTTATAGCATATTTTTGATAGATTATCTTTATTCCTCATATATAATAAAACATTTATATATTTATTTATTAAAAAAACTTTTGGCAATGTTTTTATAGCAAAGGATAATCTTTCTCTTATAACAAATTCCTCACAGTTTAAAAGACAATATAACAAATAAATAGACAACAGTTACGAAACATAGATGTTTTTTACAAACATGTTTATCTTTCTAAAATTGGAGAAGTACCTTTTAAATTATCCCATTAAATTAATACCACAATGAAAATAAAATTCTTCAAAATACCGGTATATTTAAACAATAAGGAAATATGTGTAAACATGAACAATTGTAGATGTTTTTGACAGGAATATGAAGATACAATTTGTCAGACAATATTATAAAAATATTTTTTTGAATTTGTGAATTTACATGAATTTACTTTTCTGATTTTTTTTATTATTCATATCACTTTTATAAATTGGCTTGTTCATTAATAATTAAAATATTTCATATGTTAATAAGTAGTTATCAGACTAAAATACTATTGAATATAATTATATTTTATATACAAATTATTATTCCAGTAGGAATATGATTTTGAGTTTATGATTTTATTAGCTTTAAATGTTTTTGGAAGTTTAAGTATATTCTTTAGGAACCTACATAATATTTAATATTCTGAAAATGTTAACACTGGTGAATAATTGTTTTTAAGTTCAGATATATTTCATAAAGTTGTACTAATAATTAATTATTTATTTGTGTATAGTTAAAACAACTTACTTGATATGTAAATAAACATATTAAATGTATTATAATTTAAATGATAATATGCAAAAAATAAATTTTATTTTATAAGATTTATAGTTTAAAAAAAAAAAAATTTGGACTAAAAATATATTTTAGGAACTACACGTAAGTATAAAATCTAAGAAAAGTACATCTTGTTTCAAATGAATATGCAATATCTCATCTATTGCAAAAAATGTCTGATTTGCCAGACAAGTTATAGACATTGACAGAAAAATTAGTTAATGTACGAGCAATGATCCAGTAATATGCTGTTCTTGAAAATGCTACATCATGAAAGATGATATTATCTCATTTATATTTGGCTTGAGAACTTTCAGGTTACAATGTTTATATCTAATTTTAGAATAATGAGAAGTGTATTTTTCATCGCTTTGTTTTTTAACGGATTATTATTTTAAAATTATGTGATTGAAAATTGATACAATTAAATGTTTTATGTAAAATCATCTTTCATTCATTTGACCTTGTGATTTGTTTTGGTCTTAATTCATTTAGTCTGTCAACATTCTTATAGTTATCATGGAAGATAATGTATAAATTATAGAATCCTTTTGTTTAGTTTGTATGCTTTTAGTTTACTTATTACTTTTTATTTTTTTATTTACTCTTTTTAAATATCCTTCTTCTTTTTTTTTTGTTTTATTAAAAATCAGAATTACCATGCTTTGGATTATTTTTGAATGAATTTTCCTCAAATAGCAATTACTAATTTTTTAAGTTAATAAATTTAGTAGTGAAAGTTCTTTAGAATAAAAAGTTCATTAGAACAAATAACCTGGCCAAATGACATATGCTCAAGGATTTCAGCAATTATTATTATGCTTTCATTTATTTATAAAAGCATGTTATAATTGAGTTAGGAGCAAAATGAATTTGTTAAATTATTTTAATTATAAATTTGAAGTATGGAAATATATAATAACTGTTATAAATTATACTATTGTTTTGTATTACAAACATTGAAATAACATTTTAGAACTTTTAAAAAGTAATTTCTTAAATTATTATTATTATTATTAGTATATATTCTACAACAGCAAAATTTGGATAAAATAAGTTTCATATATCTAATTTAAAAGAATATCTCAAAGAAATTCTTTTAAGTTCTTGAAAATATAAAATTCTTTACTTGCTGAAATTCTTCCATTTCATCTTCAAATTTTATAGATGTTGATGATAGATGTTTACTAATTAATTAAATTTTTTATGTAGAGAAAATGTTAAAAAACTTTACAAATAATTACTCTTGTAGATATATTGGTTTAGTATAATGAAATCATTTTTTGCTTGTCTTTGCTGAGATCATTTATTATTTTATTATGAAATAAAGATTTTACGTTGACTTTTTGTTTTTTACAAATATTTATACAAATATGGACTTCTGGCCAATTGCTAACTAGGCAACAGAATTGCTTACCACACATCAATCATGATTTTCATTGCTTGTGAGTTCTTTAAACTGGTTTTAACTGCATTCATTCATGATGCTAATTGGTGTATTTAGAATTCCAAAGTATATGACTATTTGGATTAGTCAAAAATAAAACTTTGGTGTAATATAATGATCTTGAAATTGTTATGTATACATATACACTTATATTATTGATGCATATAGATTGATATATTTATGATATATTAATCTAAATGCAAAATTTTATGACTGATACCAGACTAAAAGAAATAGTATAGGCCTGTATATTGAAAATATATATTGTATATGATTTTCCCTTAACTTATAGCATATTTTTGATAGATTATCTTTATTCCTCATATATAATAAAACATTTATATATTTATTTATTAAAAAAACTTTTGGCAATGTTTTTATAGCAAAGGATAATCTTTCTCTTATAACAAATTCCTCACAGTTTAAAAGACAATATAACAAATAAATAGACAACAGTTACGAAACATAGATGTTTTTTACAAACATGTTTATCTTTCTAAAATTGGAGAAGTACCTTTTAAATTATCCCATTAAATTAATACCACAATGAAAATAAAATTCTTCAAAATACCGGTATATTTAAACAATAAGGAAATATGTGTAAACATGAACAATTGTAGATGTTTTTGACAGGAATATGAAGATACAATTTGTCAGACAATATTATAAAAATATTTTTTTGAATTTGTGAATTTACATGAATTTACTTTTCTGATTTTTTTTATTATTCATATCACTTTTATAAATTGGCTTGTTCATTAATAATTAAAATATTTCATATGTTAATAAGTAGTTATCAGACTAAAATACTATTGAATATAATTATATTTTATATACAAATTATTATTCCAGTAGGAATATGATTTTGAGTTTATGATTTTATTAGCTTTAAATGTTTTTGGAAG